AAAAAAAAAAAAAAAAAAAAAAAAAAAAAAAAAAAAAAAAAAAAAAAACTTCTAGTTAAAGAACCATATGGGTTTTTTGGGCCTTAACTTTTTTTAAGCAAACCTTTTGGTGTGGAGTTGGGAAAAAACTTGAAGAAGACCACCAAAAATTGACAACTCAGATAGTTAGATGTGAATTATAAAATTTGCATACACCCTAACCATCATTAAATACAAATTTGAAATTTGAAATTTGAATTTTCCAAATTTCGTGGGAGTCGTGAACATTCAAATGGTAAGAATCTTGACCTTCTGATTTATATATATATAAATAAAATAATAATAATAAAAAAAAAAGCAGTTAAATGATCAAAATAACTCTAAATAATGAAATTGGTTTTGTTTAAACGTTGAAAAATTTATTTTACCTCTTGAAGTTGAAAAGTTTGTTTCAAAATAACTATAGTAGGTTTTGCAGTAAAATTTGAATGTAAAAAAAGTAGTGTACACTTATGTGAATAATTTAAACACAAATGGAAGGAAAAAGAAAAAAGAAAAACATTAAAATTATGAACCATTCATGTTGTCCTTTTACACCTTCAACCCCACACACCCAATTTTTTTATTCTTTGTTTACAATTTTTCTTATTCGCCCCAAATTTACCTCCCGAATGTATTTAAATAGTTCATATAAACAACACATAAATGAAACTTTTTGAACATGAGTTTAACAATAAAAGCTTTTCTAACGAATTTCAAACTTTGAAAGTTAAAATGAAACTTTTCGAAATTCGAAGTATAATTAAACCAATTCCATTGTACCTTTTTAAAAAAAATAATTTAACAAATTAAATATTCCACGAAATCAATGAAAATTCAAATATAATTTTTTGTAATCAAAAAAAGAAAAAAAAAAAGAAAAAAGCATACATATTTTTTTTTAGTTAAAAATTACAGGCGAAAGACGAACCATCAATAGACTATGCTATGTTTGGTAGGGCAATAATAGCAACACATTTTATAAACTCTTCATACTCCCTTCAAAAATGAATGTTATACTAAATTTAGTAATTTATTATTGAACACAAAATTCAATTATATATATATATATATATAGTAGATTCATTAATCTTAAAAATGGTTGAAAATATCATAGATTAAACTCATAATTTAACCAAAAATGAATTTGAGGTTGGAAATTCTTTTACAATAACTTTATTTCGTATGGATGTTTATCTTCATAAAAAAATTAAAAGGAACGGGCAATTTCTATCCCGTTTCTATACGTCGACAGTAATCAGTGAAGTGAAAATACTTTTAACAAATCTGAAAATCATCAAGATATGGTGGGACCAAGACTCCAGCCTAGCATTTAATTTAAGGTGGAAAAAAGAGTTCCGGAAAAGAAGAGAAATTGAAGAGGAAAGTTGTGATAACATTACCGAAGCCGTGGTTGTGGTTGTGGTTGTCGTTGTGTTTGGGGCATTACCAAGTAATGGCGTCCTCCGCTACGATTTTATCGTCTTCTCTTCTTCCGGCCAGAGCTCCGATCTGTGACCGTCAAGACGGCCGACTCTGTCTCTTCCAAGTTGGGTCTGTCCGTGCCAATAACAGAAGGGCTCGTGCCCCTTTTAGGGTTCAGGCCGCAAAGCCTCCGGCTGGAGTAAGCTGACTATCCTCTTCAAACCACTGGACTTTTCCCAATTCTGTTTCACCTGTTGAAAATATCGTTTACATCTGAAAAGCTTAGAGAAATTCAGAATAATAAATTCATGTGAGCTTGCGAGTTACCTTTTCATTTCTGTTTTGAAGGTTGAATTGCCAAAAGTACAGCCGAAATTTGAAGCCCCGTTTCTTGGATTCACTAAAACTGCTGAAATCTGGAATTCCAGAGCCAGCATGATAGGCCTCATTGGGATATTCGTAGTAGAGCTGGTGAGCTTTTCTTTCTTTTTTCTTTTCAAAGAAAAGTTTCTTTCTTTTACCTTCTATATCCAAGTTTAGGGGTTTTATTTATTGATTTATTTTCTGTTTTTCCAGATATTGAACAAGGGTATACTTCAGGTGATTGGAGTTGATATTGGGAAAGGACTGGATCTTCCTCTTTGATTTCCAGAAGGCTTATTATCATCTTGAGATCCTTCGTGTTTTTTTTTTTTAAATCAAAATTGTAACTGTAATATAGACCTCTCAACTGTATCAGAGAATTCTACATTCTTCAAGTTCTTGTACTTCATGAGTAAATTACACAACATTGTCAGCCTAGAGAATGTGCTCACCCTCTTGTCTTCTATAAAGATGCATAACAACCAGAACTCGAAAATATTGCAAATTAAATAAGCCTACAGAGTCGAGTATCGATAATAGGCACCTTGGAAGGCGGCTGAGCTATGTCTAGTACCTCTTCCAGTGATATCCTACGATTCTTCCAAGCAAGTTCCGACCATTTCCTCATCATCTGTCCTTCAGCCTTTCTATTCTTTTGGACGTCAAGTATCTCCGCGTACGCACCTGCAGAGGCAATCAGTGATATCAAAGAATAATCATGCTCAGACCACCACGTTTATGAAGCTTAAAACGTCTTTCTTACTATAATATGTGACTTTATGAATGATTTCAATTATAATCAATGGTGGGATAACGATCAGTTTAGCTCGGTTTCATTTAAGAGTACAGCTGAAAGCTATCAATTTTCTAAGTACTACAACTCTCCTAACGAACGTTTCTACCTGATGCAGTGATTTGTTTGTTTTTTTTAAAGCATCGAGCTAAATGCTTAGAATCACTTAGATTATACTTGATCAGTACCTCCGGCGATATTTGCAATGTCACATCTGTCCACCTTTACTTGTTCTCCCGTGCCTTCAAGAGGATAAACCATTCAATTGAAATTAATATATATATATACATACATAAAAATAAAAAATAAAAATAAAAAAAAGCTTGAGATGTTGAGTTGGTTGGCAATACCTTCTGGTGAAACTTTCATCAAGTCCATTGCTCTCCTATAGAGTCCCTGTAAATGAATTTTTAGAGAAATCTGCAGAAAGGAAACTAACAAGAAATACTTTTATAAACTATGAGGATTTCATATTTGATTTCCCAACATTCAGACAAGAAGCCTAAATGTTAACTGGAATTGAATTGTACAGACAACTTGATAACGACCGGAATTAGTTGTATAACTTTTCTATCTTGGCAAAAGATTCAATCATGGGCCAGTATACAAGAACCAACACCAGGTTGTTTGGATGAGAAATCAACACCTTCCTCAATGCACTAAGGAATGTAATTTTTGCTTATATTTGAAGGGAGTTTAAAACATAAGTAAGCAGTGGAAAAGAGCATGACAGTTCTCACAAATTAACTTATGAGTAGATTTACACGATACAAATGATTCAGACGTGAGCTACATCCTCTCAAATCGATATCCGTTTTCTAATCACTTTTCTAATCAGGAATCTCCCAACACAATTCCCCTTTTCTTTTGATATCACTCTTCAAAGGGCGTTTCGAAAATGGACTTAAGTCTTTACGCTCAATGTCCCCAATTTATAGTCATCTGTAAAATTTCACTTTTATTAATGAAAAAAACTTCCCAAAGTTAAGTAGACTGAATTACCAACCTCCGTAACTGATGCAACAAGTTTCATTAACTACATAGAATCTACATATGCCAAACATAAGAGGGCAGGAGCAAAATCCAACCTCCTGAATCAAAAGTGAACTCGAATGCTCCTTCTTTGCTTTGTATCGATACATGAGTGCTATGCAGGTTAAGACAACTCCAACCTTGGGATGGTGAGATCCTGTACCATGTAATTTTCCAAAAATTAGACGCCCACCCACTTGGAAAATAGCCAAACAATTCCACATGAGAACAAACAGGAACCTCAGTTGTATACATGTCGTAAAGATTCAAGTATATTGGGAATTCTAAACTAGCAACTACCATACCAAAATATGCTTCTGCTTTGGTCAACGCGTTTGTCAGTATATCCTCGGCTTCAGAAAAATTCCTAAACAAAACAGGGTATAGTTATGATTCATAACTATTGCAATAAAGAATCTTATGGACAAATAGCACAACATAGCACAATGATCAAAAAGCTACCCCAAGTGCCCCTCAAGCTGCCCTAAAGCACAAGTCGCAGCCACTAACACTTCCATTGGAGACATCTTACCACCAGCTAAAGCACATTGCTCACTCAAATCTTGGACTTCGGATCCCACTTCAATTACTCTTTGATACACCTCTTTTGCTGATGAAAAATTCTGTGAGGCAACTAAGAATTCTCCATATGCAAATGCAGCACTACCTACATATCAAATGGTCAATAGGATGTAATCAACAACTTTTCCCACACAGATCGTTCAAGTGAACCTCACCAGCACATCTTTCAATAGTTTGAAACCCTTCAAATAACGATTCAGCTGCAGATAGATAACCAACATTAACTTGAGTAAAACATCACAAAAGAACAAAGTGCGTAGAGAGAGTACTAAAAGCCAAACACCTGCATCAAGGTTATTTTTTACAAGCTCAACCAGCCCCTTTACAGCTTTAACACGAGCTCTCAGAACGCCAGAATTTCCATCATCAGCAACCTTGCTATTTTCAAATAGTTTTAAGCATTTATCTGCGATATCTGATGAAGAATCATCCTATATATGAAGAATCATCCCCAGATAACTTTGATCCATGTTACACGATTAGAGATGAGCAATAATTACAAGTTTACAAGGATATTTACCAGGTTTAGTTCGAGATGAAGTCCAGCAAGTGCTTCAAGAGCAGCAACTACAAGAAAAACAAGAAAAAACTAGAGTCAAAACACGAGCTCCCAATAATCGATTTGAACCGAGCTACCTACGCTAAAAGAATGAACTAAAAACCCTTGGAAACTTTACCTCTAATATCTAGAGAGCAATGTGCTAAATCCTCAACTCGTTGAAGCTTATCTATAGCGTCGTGAATATCACCTCTGAAATAACAAAATAGGACAATTGTTAAGCCATAAGCAATTCCATTAAACTACAATGTAGCTCTTAAAGAAATGAATCAAAAAACGACAGGACAAATGAAACAGAAGGAAAACCTTTCAGCAAACAAGGTAGACATGGCAAGTAATACCGCTCCCCTAGAGTTATCGGCATCTTGGCCTTCACTCGACTGAGCAGAGAGGCACTGCTCCAGAACCAGACGACCTTGTGCGTACGATTCGTCTAATTATCACATTAAAAAGATTACAGACCAAAAACTTCACACCGATTTTTGACATAAAAACAAATAAGAATATGGACCTGATTTCTGAGACCTAGCGTGAGACAGAGCATAATTAATCATCTGACAAGAGACCGGGCTCGCATTCGGACGGTCTATTCCAACGTAAAGTGATCTCAACGGTGAAGCTAACCATGAGGAAGATGGAGAGGAGAGAAGATCGAAGCGGGAGCTGGAGCCCAGTCCTGCAGTTCGAACGACCGCCGCAGTGGTTTTTGACAGCTGAACGGCGACGCGAATCATAGCTATCAGAGAAATGGCCAGAGAGAGAGAGAGAGAGAGCGATTGAAATCAAAGCTGAGAGAATCCTTAGAAAAAAGAAAAAACTAATTATAAAAAGTATTTTTTATTGGCCAATATTAATTTAGTAAGAAATTGCAATATTATTTCTAAAACTTACCTGGATTAAGCCAAAGTCGATGATTTTTTTTTTTTTTTTATAATTTAGCTTCTTTTTTTTTCTTACAAATATAAATTTAATTCTAGGTTTAAATTTATAAGCTCTCACTTTTAACATTAGAACTTTAATAACATAAAAAAATAAGTAATATCGGTTAGAAATTACAGATCTCCACAATGGTGCTATTCTATAATGGTCCGATAGCATATCTTCCACTATTCAACAATGGTATGATAGCATATCTTCTACTAAATTAACCAACGTGTCTCAATAATCTTCAACAGTATCCTCTCACTTCTTAGATCACCCAATGAATATGTGTCCCAATAATCTTCAACATATCCTCCCACTTCCTAGATCTTCCTAGACCACCCACTTCCTAGATCTTCCTAGACCACCCAAGGAGTATTATATAAGGCTGCTAATAACTCAAAAGGATCAAGCAACACTATTAAAAAAATTGGGACAAAATGAAAAGCATGAAATTCAAAACTTCCACACTCATCAAACAACTTTTCTCTATTTGAACAAGCCAAGCAATCGTTCCCATCAAATTCTGAACACTTTTTATGAACAAGAGAATCTGCTTTGTGTGGAAATGAATTTCAAGATCGTACAATTCAAGAAATCCCTCATCCTTTAGCAAAAGAGCATACTTCAAGGAGGAAATCTAGCAAAGTGGAGCATCATTTGAGCTGAATTCAAGTGTGATCTAGCAAAGCAAACGAGAGAAAGAGAAATAGAATGCCTCAATTTGAAGGAATGGATAAATCCCTTTATAGTGAAAGTGAAAGTGAAAGTGAAAGTGGTTAGTATCAACTAAGGGAAAAACTTGAGCAATGCAGCCTTTAAGTAATGCCTCTCTTTCCAAATCTCTATCATACGGATCATTATCAGCTAAATGTTTGGAAGTATCATCACCATTTGGCTGCCTGTTCATAAGTTTGAAACCATGCATTCCTCCCTGTTTCTCATCTTCTGTTTGGCAATCTCCATCTCACTTACAAGTAACTAAGCGTAATTCAAACACTTCTTCTTTCAATACCCTTCTTATTCACTTCATACACTAAGTTTTTCTCTTCTTGCAGGTGGAGAACAACTCATCTTAGCAAACAACTGCAATGAAAGTGTCTGGCCTGGAATACTCGGCAATTCAGGCCACCAGACGCCAATGGGTGGCGGTTTCCATCTCGGCAGAGGCAAGCACGTAGTGGTCGAAGTGCCGAAGAAGTGGTCAGGCAGGATTTGGGGCAGGCAAGGCTGTTCTTTTAGCCGTGAAGGAAAAGGCTCGTGCGACTCGGGAGACTGTTCAGGCAGATTACATTGTAGAGGCACTGCTGGTGTTCCTCCAGCCACTATTGTTGAAGTAACTCTGGGATCATCTATTTCACCAATGCATTACTATGATGTTAGCTTGGTAGATGGCTTCAACTTGCCTCTTTCAATGAAGCCAATTGGGGGTGGAATTGGCTGTGGCATTGCGTCCTGTGATATTGATGTCAACATTTTCTGTCCATCAGCATTGGAAGTGAAGAAGAACGGAAAAGTGGTGGGCTGCAAGAGCGCCTGTTTAGCCATGCAATCAGCCAAGTACTGCTGCACAGGGAAGTATGCTAACCCCAAAACCTGCAGACCCACTCTATTTGCCCATTTATTCAAAGCCATGTGCCCCAAGGCTTACACCTATGCTTTTGACGACCCGTCCAGCCTTCGTAAATGTAAGGTTTCGCGTTACGCCATCACATTCTGCCCTTCCATGTGAGGACGATTCCAGGTTACTGCAGAAAAAAGTCTACCATGACAGTACAAAAATAATGCCTTGCTGCAGAATTAGAAGCTCTTGTACGTTTTCTATCTTATTTTTGTTAGTTACTCAAGAAATAGACTCCAATAAGCATCTGTTGAAGATTTTGCATTCTATGTCAATATAAATATCCTGTTACGCATATTAGTTCAGCAAAGATTGGCAGGAGTAATAGCTTTCAACTAACCTATAAAACAGCAACAAGAGATTTTCAGCAAAGAAATTTGCATTCATTTGGATATCTTGTAAAAAAAAGGGCTCAGAAGGGACAAGATCTTCATGATTCTTTAGAGCGACACTTTCTGGATGAAACTCATGGTCAAAACAAAACAAAGACAGAATGACAACACTTTATTATGATTCCAAAGCCAACAAAATAGAATTAGAGTGTCAGTGACTTAAATTTAGCTCTAGAGTTCAAGCAAAGGAAGGAATTTCTCCTGATTACCAACACAAGTGCCTTCTTGTTCATGGCATCCATTGAGCATTAATAAATTTCAATACAGATATCAAATTACATTTTAGAATGGTGTTAAAGAGTCCAACTAGTTATGGAAACCAAACCTGAGATTGACATATACACAAAAGAAAGAAAGGCATTTACCATTGGCCACATCAGATAACTCAACATTTGCAGCTCATCCACCATATGGGAAATCTTCTTAGTATAAGAAACTGTTATACTACCTTCACTTATTATAAGTATTTAAGTATTCAAGAACAGATATGGTTCTTTTTGGACTTTTCTCTTAACGTTTTTAAAAAGCGTCTGCTAGGGAGAGGTTTCCACACCCTTATAAAGTATGTTTCGTTCTCCTCTCCAACTAATGTGGATCTCACAATCCACCCCCTTCGGAGCCTAGCATCCTCGCTGGCACTTGTTCTTCTCTCCAATCGATGTGGTATATGGCTCTATACCATTTGTAACAGCCCAAGCCCATGCTAGCACATATTGTGCTCTTTGGACTTTCCCTTTTGGACTTCCCCTCAAAGTTTTTAAAATGCATTTGCTAGGGAGAAGTTTTTACTCCCTTACGAACAATGTTTCGTTGTCCTCTCCATCCGATGTGGGATCTCACATTTCTCTTCCAAGTCGCAGCAGAAACCAAGTAAATTTAGGCAAATAAATTAGATCCCAAGAACTAGAAGGCCTTTTTGAGATTATAAATTACGTTGCTTCATGACAATTACTTACGTGATCCGCTGGTATAACTCCATCATATGAATTGTTCCCTCCATGGGATTGATTACATCCACACTCGATCCTCCTCACAATCAAACTCAAGCAAGTTCAACCCAGTCTATTCTAAATTTTGACAGTAGACGAAATGCATATTCAAGCAACAATATCACCAAAACTATACAACAATGACAAATTATGTACCGATTGTTTGTTTTGGGAAGGCCGTACCATCTGGCATTGCTTAAACAATGTCTCGCTAGAGCTGGACGAGAACCCAGAATTTCCTGACATGCCATCAAAGACTTGATGAAGAAGGAGATGTCGAAAGCCTGAAACCTTAAATTGCCGTGGGGACGGTAGAGAATATTCGACATGTCGAATTGTTGAATGGGTTGGATTGGGCTGGGCTTTGGAAGCCCATTAAATAACTAAATCCTGTAAGCCCAAACAAGAAAAGCCTTTGAATAAACATAGCTGAAACTAAAAATATAAAAATTTAAATATGTATAATTTTGTGATAAATATGAGAAAGGGTCGATGTTTCAATTATGGAGTAAGAAAAAATATATATATAAATATTGATTTTAGAAAATCATTACAAAAAAAAAATAATAATAATAAATAATTTGAATAAACAGAATGGAAGATTATTAATGTAAATTGGTGTTGTTTTAGTTTATTTAAATTGAAGACAAATGCACATGGCGGCAACCAACAATAATTAATGCTAATTATTTAAAAACTAATGCAAAGAAATTTGTGTATAATAACGAAATTTGGCGCGTTAATTCCACGCTTTGATAAGCGACGTGCCTTCGCTGTCGAAGCTCCACGCAATTGTTTTTAACCTCAATTTTCGTCCGTTGCGAATCTCTCTGTCTCTCGATTTTACTACACCACTTAAAAGGCGAATTCTTTTCTGCAATTTTGGCATCCTTTCTTCCGTTCGAGGGAGATCATTTTTGGATTCTTGAAGTTTCTTGGCGTTCGTTGATTTCCGAGCATCGAATTCGGATAGGTAATTTCAATCACTTCATCGAACTTTATATAATTAGGGTATATTCTGTCAAGGAGTTATGGTGCCATTCTTTCGATCGATCAATTGATGGATTTGATGGGATCGACATCTTTTTGCTACAGATGCAATCGATTTATCAGAGCTCGGGCTCGGGCCCTACATTAGGTCTGTTGTCTTGATTGTGGAGGAGAAGAATTTAGGTCTCTGCCGTCTGTTTCTCCGGTTGATCATCGGTTTCCACCTGCTGCGATGAACCACGATGATGCTTCTGACCTAGACCCTTCCTTCGTCCCAAGATTGCGTCGCAGCCGAAGAAACGGTGAGGATCGCTCCTCTTTCAATCGTATCATTGTTCTACGCGATCCCTCTAATTCGGGCGCTATTAGTAATAATGGTGTTGGAGGTGGAGGAAATTATGAGATTTATTATGATGATGGTACGGGGGCTAGTCTCCGTTCCTTGCCTTCTAATATATCCGAGTTCTTGATGGGATCGGGGATCGATCGCCTTCTCAATCAATTGGCGCAACTGGAGGTGAACGGGGTTGGCCCATTGGAACACCCACCGGCGTCGAAGGCTGCAATTGAATCTTTGCCTGTGGTTAAGATTCTTGCTAGCGATGTGCCTTTGGAATCACATTGTGCGGTCTGTAAGGAACCATTTGAGCTCGACTCTGAGGCTCGACAGATGCCGTGTAAGCATATTTACCATTCGGATTGTATATTCCCTTGGCTTTCTATCCGGAATTCCTGTCCTGTTTGTCGCCACCAATTGCCTACCGATGCGCATGGCAGTGGCAGGAGCTCCCCGGCTTCTGCTGAAGAAGTTGTTGGATTAACAATTTGGAGGCTTCCCGGTGGGGGATTTGCTGTTGGAAGGTTCACTTGGGGAAGGGGAGCTGCAGAACATGACCTTCCTGTTGTTTACACTGAAATTGATGGTGGGTTTAGTACCACCAGCGGTGTTCCAAGGAGTATTACATGGGCGTCAAGTGGGATAAGATCAAATGAAAGTGGTGGATTTCGTCGTATTTTTCGCAATTTCTTCTCCTTTTTTGGGAGGTTTAGAAGTACATCCCGTCGTTCTGGTTCAGTTACTGGTTTAATTAGAAGGAGCTTCTCTACTACCTTATTCAATAGACGCTCAAGGAGGAATAATCACTCTATGGTGTCGGACGCAAACTATACATTTTCTGCTTAGTTATATACTTATAGAGAGGTTGAATTCCCATCCTGTATGCTCTTTACAATTTTTGTTTTATCAGATGTATATAGCTATACATCAAAAAGAAATACTGAATTTGATAGCTTAAATATAGTTGACTGGAGAGTTTTTGACATAGTGGGACAAGTATATGTAGAGATAAAGAAGGGAGAGAGTTGTAGAATCTGCCCAGTCAAGGGTTTTTGGCAGTTCGAGTATTTGATATCTTTTGCTGTTTGATGTTAGAAGGAAAGAGATGGGTAAGGAGTTCTTGTTGATGTCTAGCAGGTTCATTTTTTCCTTTTATGCAACGTAACATTGTAACTTCGCTGCAAAGCAGCTCTTATCTTTAGAATACGAAAATCTTCTGTTTTTAGTATGTCTTTCTCTTTATCCCTTCATGGTTTTACCTTTAAGTTAAATTTCATCTCTCTGACTTTGCTTTGTGGCATTCTGTTTCTGCTGTACGATGATTCTTAAGGAACTCTTATTATCTCTCTGGTTGCCTTTTATCTTTCAGCTGATACTTATTATACCCCGCTAGAAAATATTGTTCTCTTTGAGTTTTTCATAAAGGTTTTTAAAATGCCTCTACTTGGGAGAGGCTTCCACACCCTTATGCTTCATTCCCTTTTCCAACCGATATGGAATCTAACAACCCACCTCCCTTCGAGGGCAGCATCTTCGCTGACACTCATTTATCTTTCCGATCGACGTGGGATCTCACAATCCAAACGAATGCCAGCAAGGCCGCTGGGCTCTGAAGGGGTGGATTGTGAGATCCCACATCGGTTGGAGAAGAGATAGAAGCATTCTTTATAAGCATGTGGTGTGGAAATCTCTCTCTAGCAGATGCCTTTTGAAAACTTTGAGGGAAGTCATATCTCTCACAGATCTCAGCTCATTCAAGCATCAAAATTACCCACATCCCATATCACATTTCTGTCTGTCTCTGGGGAAGGGAGGACGGACCCATCCTCTTATAAGGAAGGCAGATTGACAATGCTGACAGGGTGGGGACAATTTAATACTCAGGTGAGGTAAATTATACATTGAAGAACTTTGCAGCTCAGGGCCAGGGCTTTGTTTATTACTAGTTGATTAATATGTTACTATCAAAACCATGCTGATGCACTAAAAAAGACTCTTGGACCCTAGAAAGTTCAAGTATTCATGTTTTTTACTGGTTTAAACTTCTATGCACATTTGTATATCAACCACCAACGTCATTTCTCAATGAAAAGGATGCCATTTGATGCATGTGCAACTTTAGCAGCTTTGTAAGTTAATATCAAAGATAATGTACCTTACCTTTATTCCAAGTGTAATCTCTTTTCTGATTTCCCTCTTGCATGAATTGTCAAATACATGGGTAGGAAAGTGAACAGCACAGGTTGTACTCCTTTTTTCCTTGTCGTGAAAATGAACTACCAGAACACACATCAGATGGTGATTGTTGGGAGAAGGAATGGAAGTTTATTCGTTTTGTTTGGTATAAGAGATGTTGGTTCACATGTCTTGCAACTTTTTGAACTTTGTGTGTCGCCATGTGCGGATTCCTGCCGAGTCATGTCATCTGCGGCAGTTGTAAGCTATGATTGTTGGATTTTTGTGTTAATATCTAAACGGAAATGACAAAAAGGCATAAGCAGATGAAGATGAACCCCAAAGGAGTGGGCTTTCTAATTCGGAAGCGGAGGTTCTTTGCATAATGCATGATCGAAGGCTGGCTTTTCTCTCATGTCTTCTACCATTTGGATCTTGTGGGTGACAAGTGTCTACACACTGCACATCCACTGGAAACTGCTGAGGATGTTTGGGGCCTCTGTTTTTTTCTTACTTGTCCATATGATTAAGATATTTAGCTTTTTATTACCATTTATCATAGGTATTATATTTGACTCTTCACCTTCATGTCAGGATTTTCGAGGAGAAAAATAGAGATGTCAGGACAAAATTAGAAGGGAGAGTTAGTCGCTAAAAAATTCATATGGTGGGCCATTCTTATCTACACAACAATCAGAACCTTAAGTCGGATATAGCCTTATCCAGATTTCATTCAACTTCAAAACATCCCTCCATCCTTTCCAACCACCAAATTATAAAAAATCTGTTCTTGATCTTCTTCCATCCCTGAATTCAGATTCAGTTTCAGTCCTCTGGAAAACATGGCATCCTTGTGTACATTTCCACGTATTTCTTCCACAGAACCCATCAAGCAAACGCCCGCCGCCGCCCCTTTTCCGCCCTCCAATCAGCCGATGAGACCCTCGGCGTTGTCCCTCCGCCAAAGCAGCAGCAAGCACCGGAGAATTTCTACAGTGGTCGCCGCCATTGGAGATGTCTCCGCCGATGGCACCACCTACTTGATCGCCGGCGCTGTAGCTGTGGCTCTTGTCGGAACCGCCTTCCCTATCCTCTTCTCTCGCAAAGACCTGTAAGTAAAATTTCTAGTACTTCTATAGCCATCTATTTCTGCATTGAAATTAAATTAACAAATGCGATTTAAAGAATACGTCACCATAAATTTTCCCCTTTTCTCTGCAGTGGAATTCTGTTCTGCTTCTGTTATTGTCTTTTACTCTTAATTACAGTTTCAGTCTCACGACATTAATTAAACAAACTACCCATCTGCAATGCTTTAAGAGGAGCTTTAATTTAAATTTCAATGGTTGAGATTTTAATTGCGGCGGCGGTTTTCGTGGTCTGGTCTACCGTAGGTGTCCGGAATGCGACGGCGCAGGGTTTGTCCGGCGATCAGGAGCGGCGCTGAGGGCTAATGCGGCTCGCAAAGACCAAACTCAGATCGTTTGTGCTCGTTGCAATGGCCTTGGCAAGCTCAACCAAGTGGACAAATAAATTAAAACCTGCCTTTTTTAGCCCCATCATAAATTCCATACTTTATTAATGCTGTAATAATCTATTTTTAATATATTTTAGTCGATGTCCTTCGAGTCTTTGGAACTGTAATATTTGTTTTTAACCTAACATTTGAATTCGAATTAGTTTTTTTTTTTTTTTTAATTATGCTTTGACCGATATAATATATTTAACGTTAAATGACATTATTAACGAGGTCATTAAATAATACTACAATACTATGTTTCAATCCCTTGAAGAACAACGGTTGTAAGTATTATTTATATTTCTTCTATTTTTTTTATTATTTAAATAATAATTAGTAGGCTACTAAATCACATGGCCAATTTCCATGGAAGAAATTCAATTCGTTGACCAAGAGAAGTCAAATCAAACACCAACATACTATGAAAGCACTTTGTTATCAATGTTTGAAATATGTAAATGTACACTACATCATCAAACTACCTCCTTAGCTAATTTTTTTTGCTCGGTTCAATTATACATTTTTTTAGTATAATTTAATAATAATTGATACGTGTCTTTATCCACTATGTTATGTTTGATTTTAAGATAAGGTAAATTAAGTTTTTTTCACATAAAAGTTATTGACTTTAGGGTTAAATTTAGAAGCTTCTAGAGTTAGATGAATAATGGTGGAAATTATTTATGGTTAGAAATAGAGAAACAGATACCTAAAAGGAAGGGAAAGTCCTTTAAGTGGAGTGTTAAATTAGATGAAAGGTGTGAATAATAGCTTTAATATTAAAGGACCCATCACCATCCTTCTATTGTTCTCAACCCATTCAGCATCACATGTGAAACCACCAATCTTTTAGATTTTTTCTCATATACTTTCTCCAACTTTCCATTTTCAGTTTTTTTTTTTTTTTTTAATATAAACTTTAAAAAATAATGAAATAAAAATTCAACTTATAAAAAAAGAAAAAAAAAAGTATTATATATTAATTTACTTATAAAAAAAATTAGAATTTTATTTAATAAAATTAATGTTTTGAGGTTTTAAGTGGTAGAGATTCACCAGATTAAATAAAGAATAAATAAATAAATAAATCGATAATGAAACTCAAATGAATTGAACACGGAGACGGCATTAAATGCATCTTATCCTCTCACATTCAATACACCATGGTCACAAAATTTCCTTTTTCTTTATATTTATTTAATTTCAGTTTATTTGACATTTAAGTAAAAAGAAAATAATAAAAATGTCAACTTTACTATTTCATGGAATAAAATTGTGTTCACTTTTTTGAAATTCCTTTTTTTTTTTTTTTCTTTGCTCAAATAACAAGCGATCCCATTATTCTTATAATTATAAAAGTTTTTATACAAATTAATTTAATGAATATATATATATTTTCGTGTGCTTGTTTATTACTTCAGACAAGTTGCAGACACATTTATAGAATACATAGATTATAGGAAAACCGCGTATTGATGAAAACTTCAAAAACCATAATTAAATATATTTTTAAAATCCTTTCAATTATTAATTTAATGCCTTTGCTGATCTGGCATGCAATTAACGTAACATTAATCTTAAATTGTTCCCACGTGTCATCATCAGCATCGTTTGACTCTGTCCTTGTCTGTTTCAGTGACCGATTTACTAATTTTGTCTAAATATTAATTTATTGCTCTGCCTCCTTTTAACGTCGCTTCTTCTCCAAGTGTTATTTTCACGACATAGAAATATATATATTAAAAGAAAACCGATTTATAAATTCAGTGAATATTGCTTTATTTCCTAAAATAATAGGGGTAAAAAAAAAAAAAAAAAAAAAAACATCAAGTGTTGCTCTGGTACACTAGAATTATTATTTTTAATTATTCAAAATAATTTCCTCAAATGGGGTAGGCAATTTTATTTTCAATTTTCATTATATAAAAATTTATAGCCTTTTTTGTTATTTTTCTATGAAGATAAAATAATTAAATTTTTCTAAAATAAACATTTCAAAACTAATGTTAGAATAGAAATTAATAAAAATTAGATCTCATTATTTTTTTTATACTTTTCCGTCTAAAATACGATATCAAAAATACCTGTTTTGACCTTGAAGTTATTGAGAGAGAAGAGATGTAGCTCAATATTACATGGGACAATACAAAATTCGGTTGTCTTGTCTTGCTTAAACATCGTGGTTCTGCACCGAATAGCCACGACCCTCTGGAGATCTCAGTGTGAATTTCTTTGTTCCTTTTCTTTTTAATTTTGGGAATTTTTTTTAATTGTTTTAATTATATATATATATATATAGTTGGATCTTCATCTTCGCAGGGAAAGGAGAAATTTATCGAACGGTTGCAAAGATTTTGGGAACACTCTGTTCTCGCAAACAAAAGAAAGACAACGAAGTTGCTCGAATTTCTTCACTCTGTGGAGCTTCCAACTGCCCCCAACTGTTTTCCGATTCCAATATTCCAGGAAAGAAAAGGAAAATGAGGGATTATTGTATAGCTTTCAATTCCTCAAACCACAAATTTCTCAAATCTTTGTTCCCTTTCTTCCTCTGTACTTTGTTTTCTGTCTTTCAGAATCTCATACTCTGTTCCTCACAAAACCCAGCCCTTCTTCTTCCCCTCAAAACCCAAGTTATTCCGCCGGAATCCATCCGGCGATCTCCTGACAAGCTTCCTTTCCGGCATAACGTCAGCCTCACTGTCTCTCTGACGGTCGGAACGCCGCCGCAGAATGTTACAATGGTCATTGACACCGGCAGTGAACTCTCATGGCTCCACTGCAACAGATCACAAAATTCTTCTTCTTCTTCATCTTCGACATTCAACCCGGCCGGGTCCTCCTCGTACACTCCGATTCCTTGTTCCTCGTCCACCTGCACCGACCGAACTCGGGATTTTCCAATTCCGGCATCTTGTGATTCCAATCATCTCTGTCATGCCACTCTGTCTTACGCTGATGCCTCTTCTTCAGAAGGAACTCTCGCCACCGATACTTTTTACATCGGCAATTCCGGGATTTCCAATGTTGTCTTCGGTTGTATGGATTCAATTTTCAGCTCCAACAATGAAGAAGACTCCAAGAACACCGGATTAATGGGTATGAATCGTGGATCTCTCTCTTTTGTATCTCAAATGGGTTTCCCCAAATTTTCCTATTGCATATCGGAATATGATTTTTCCGGTTTGTTATTACTCGGAGATGCTAATTTTTCATGGTTGGCTCCGTTGAATTACACTCCACTCATCGAAATGTCGACCCCATTACCGTATTTCGATCGGGTTGCTTACACGGTTCAGCTTGAAGGGATCAAAGTTTCCCACAAGTTACTTCCGATACCGGAGTCCGTTTTCGAACCGGACCACACCGGAGCGGGTCAAACCATGGTTGACTCGGGCACTCAGTTCACGTTCCTTCTCGGACCAGCTTACACCGCGCTCCGAGACGAGTTCCTGAACCGAACCGCCGGTTCGTTTCGGGTTTTCGAGGATTCGAATTTCGTTTTTCAAGGGGCAATGGATCTTTGTTACCGGGTTCCAATGAATCAAACCCGGCTCCCGCCACTGCCATCGGTGACGCTAGTGTTTCGCGGCGCCGAAATGACGGTTACCGGCGACCGGATTCTGTACCGGGTGCCCGGAGAAATAAGAGGAAACGATTCGATTCACTGTTTTACATTCGGAAATTCGGATCTCCTCGGCGTGGAAGCGTTTGTAATTGGGCATCTTCATCAACAAAACGTGTGGATGGAATTCGATCTGAAAAAATCCCGGATCGGGTTGGCGGAGATTCGGTGCGATTTAGCGGGTCAGAAGTTGGGTATGGGCCTGTAAATGACCCGGGCCCATTTGATGGAAGCGTTTTAACTATCGGGGTAACTTAGCACGTGATATTGATTAAAATCTTACGGTTTTTGGTGTGTAGTCGTAGGTCCATGCTATTATGATGGTCCTTCAGCTTTTTAATACCGTCCGTATGTGGGTCCCCTATATACTCTGTGATATCATAAAATAAAAAGAAAAAAAAAAAAGCGAGTTTGATCCGACGGGTGTAGTGAGTTTGAGTGAGCTGCAGCTTCGCCACGTGTAAGGACAGTTTTCTTTTTCTTTTTCTTTTTCTTTTTTTCCTCCCTGCCTGTACATTTAAAATATTCATGAGCTTTTTAATGTAATAAAAATATTGTATTAATTATTTATTACACTTTTTGAGACAATAATGGAAGTGTGACCAAGCGACCAAATATTACAACATTTAATGCAGATGTTGTTAAGTCAATAAAGAAGTTCCCTAAAAAATCTGGAGATTAGAGAGGAGATTCGGAGGGTATGTTAAAAAATCAAACCATTTAATGAACTAATAGAAAATATATACACAATTTTATTTTAATTACATGAAATACTTTTTCTAATTATAAATTGATTCAACAAAATTTGAATATTATGTAAATTAAAGTCAAGCAGGTGGGTACAACATTGCATTCCTTCTTAGCTTGTGATTACAAAGTGGCACCAATTGGAGGTTGAATACTCCCTAATTCCCCTATTCATTTTAATATTAATAATTATTTTTCACTCCGTCCGGAGATCCCACATCAAGGGGACAAGTGGCAACGCCAATGAAAAAATTGTGATTTGGGATAAATTGTGAGACGAAACATTATTCTGTAAGTTTAAAGGATCCAACCATTGATCGAATAGCTATGTGTTAAAAAGAAAAGGTAAAATGGGTTTAGTTAGAACAAAACCTTCAATTTTACTCTAAAACAAAGGTTTAGCAGCAACTACGAGTTGAGGCTGATGGACTCATAAAACATACAACATAACAAAAATGCTGTTAAATTCACCTAATTGACCAAACCCACCCATTGATTTCACCCCCTCCCCTTATAAAAATCTTTCATTTCATGTCCTCTTCATCCAACTGAAAATATCAGATCTTCAATTAAAAAAAATGGCTTTTGATTCTCTGAAAGCCACCTTTTGCTTTGCCTTCTCTGTTAGTCTTCTCTGTTTGCTTCCAAGCACGGCCAATGCAGGAATTACCAGACACTACAAGTTTCATGTGAGCTTCATTAAAACACTACACCATTTTCCCACGCAACACTACTTATCAAATTGTCTTGCAGGTTCAATTGCAGAATGTAACAAGGCTCTGCCAAACAAAGACTGTCGTGACCGTTAACGGGCAGTTTCCCGGTCCTAGAATCATTGCTAGAGAAGGCGATCGTCTCTTAATCAAAGTCGTCAATCGTGTCCAAAATAATATATCCCTACATTGGTACGCTACAACGACATATACTTTGTTTAAAAAGTTTAAGCATAATAGATTACGGTGCACACTGATGTATTCTCAACAATAGGCATGGAGTGCGACAGATGCGGAGTGGGTGGGCGGACGGGCCAGCGTACGTGACACAATGCCCAATCCAAACAGGGCAGAGCTATGTGTATAACTTCACAGTAAATGGGCAAAGAGGGACATTGTTCTGGCATGCTCATATCTCATGGCTAAGGTCCACTGTGTATGGCCCAATCATCATTCTCCCAAGAACCCATCAGCCTTACCCTTTCCCTCGGCCTCTTAAAGAAGTCCCCATCATTTTTGGTAAGCAAACTGTTTGAAACTTTTCTAGTTTTGAAGAGATTTGATTGGAATGGGCATTGCAGGGGAGTGGTGGAAGGCTGATACAGAGGCTGTCATCAACCAAGCCATGCAAACCGGTGGTGCTCCAAATATTTCTGATGCTTTCACCTTCAATGGCCTCCCTGGCCCCTCCTATAACTGCTCTGCTCAAGGTACTCTAAATTCATGCCTTAAACAATGCCCAAGTATCCATCTTTATCTAAGCAAATGGGTTGATCAATGCAGATACCTTCAAGCTCAAGGTAAAGCCAGGCAAATCCTATTTACTCCGATTGATCAATGCAGCACTCAACGACGAGCTCTTCTTCAGCATTGCCGATCACACACTCACCGTCGTCGAAGCCGATGCTGTTTACGTCAAGCCCTTCAAAACCAATGTCGTTCTTATCACTCCAGGACAGACCATGAACGTTCTTCTCCACACCAAATCCAACGCTCCCAATGCCACATTCCTCATCGCCGCTCGGCCATACGCCACCGCGCCGGCCGCCTTCGACAACACGACTGTCACTGGTCTGCTTGAGTACGAATCCACAAAATCTCTGTTAAAGAAGAACATTAAGCTCCCTCTTCATAAACCGGTTCTTCCCCGGTTCAATGACACCAGTTTTTCCATCAAGTTTAACGGGAAGATTCGGAGCTTGGCGAATTCGCAATTCCCAGCGAAAGTGCCGACGAGGGTTGATCGGAGATTCTTTTTCACGGTGGGATTGGGGTTGTTGCCGTGCCGGAGGAACCGGTCCTGTCAAGGCCCAAATAACACCAGACTATCGGCGTCGATCAATAATGTGACATTCGTGCAGCCAAACACGGCTCTTCTACAAGCCCATTTTTTTAACAAATCTAACGGTGTTTACACCACTGATTTTCCGGCCAATCCGCCGTTCAAATTCAATTACACAGGTACGCAAATTTATTAGATGAAAAATTAGTAACTAATTACTTAAGAACAGACAGACAGACTTGAAAAAAGAATTCATACTTGGTTGGCTTGTGCAGGCTCGCCGCCGAAGAACTCGATGGTGAGTAGCGGAACGAAGGTGGTGGTGCTACCGTACAACGCCGCCGTGGAACTGGTAATGCAGGACACGAGTATCGTGACGGCGGAGAGCCACCCGCTCCATCTACACGGCTTCAATTTCTTCGTGGTGGGTCAAGGCATCGGAAATTTCGACCCGAACAAAGACCCGGCCAAGTTCAACCTCGCCGACCCGGCGGAGAGGAACACTGTCGGAGTCCCATCCGGCGGCTGGGTGGCAATCCGGTTCGTCGCTGATAACCCGGGGGCATGGTTCATGCACTGCCACTTGGAAGTTCATACCAGCTGGGGTTTGAAAATGGCCTGGATCGTACAGGACGGAAAACGGCCCAACCAGAAGCTCCCGCCGCCACCTTCCGATCTGCCTAAATGCTAAATGTTCGTTTTCATCGTTAGCTTTGAAGTTCATCCCTTTGAATTGAAAGTAGAAGCTTATTGTTAATTTGATTCATCCACTCAATGAGTAATGATAATTTGAAATTAACAATTTTATTCATGAAAATCAAAATTATTATGTTTTAAATTTAAGGATTAAAAGAATTGAGTGATTTTAACCTCATCCGGGAAGAACAATAAAATAGATAAAATTTAAAAGATCGAAATTAAAATAATAAAATTAAAAAAATAGACAATAAAAATGGAATTTAAATATATAAGTTATGATACGCAAAGAAAATTTAATATTGAAAACGGAAATATTAAATGATGATACGCAACAAGCTTCCAAACAAAGTAATTTACTGTTCAGTACCCACCAAGAAGGGGACGCTTTCGTTAGAGGAACGATGAAGAAAAGCCCAAATTCGTAAAAAGCAAGCCACCGGTACCACTCCGCCCTTCTACATTTAAGCCTTCTTCCTTTTCTTCTCAACATTGCATTTCACACCGGGATTAATCCCCTCAACATCCGGAGCCGCCGGAGCCTTGCCGCCGGTGGGTCTCCCTCCCTCGCTTCCCCAGAAGATGAAGCGGGGCTTTACCATCACTCCTCCTGTCGCCGTCGTCGTCTTAGCAATCTCCTTTATCTACTTCTCCACCGTCTTTATATTCATCGACCGGTGGTTCGGCCTTATAACCTCGCCTGGAATTATGAACGCCGTCGTCTTCACCGCCGTGGCTCTCATGTGCATCACTAGTTACGCCCTTGCTATCCTCACGGATCCTGGTCGGGTCCCTTCGACCTACATGCCTGACATTGAGGATCCCGAAAACCCTATTCACGAGATCAAGCGTAAGGTACCCATTACTCGGTGTTGCCTTTGCTTTTATCTTTTTCTCTGTTTTATCTGGTCATTACGATTTTTCACGGAGTTGAAGCTATTTGATTTGTGGTTATTAGTCTTTAAAACAACGGCGATGTAGATCCTATTCCCTCGATCTCATTCTGATCGTGTTTTGGAATTGAAGTTGAAAAATCATGGTTAGCCCCATGGTATTGTTATCTGCTATGCCCAATTTATAACTTGATCCTCTCTCTCTTTTCCCGTTCTAGGTGAATGTTGTTGTGTTTTTGTTTGTGTTGACCAGTCAATCGCTATCTTGTTGGGTAATGAGGAACCGAGAGTATGAATAGCATTCTTCTATGAGACCTCTTGATCTACAAATTATATTAAGGCTAATGGATTCGTAGAATTTGATTACATATCAACAGAACTAATTGATTAAGGAAATATGATCGAATATTTTATCAAGTGTTCCCCGTCACTATAATGAACTTTGAAGAATTGGATCATATCGATTATATTGCAGGGAGGTGACCTAAGATACTGTCAAAAGTGTTGTCAATATAAGCCTCCTCGTGCACATCATTGCCGAGTTTGCAAAAGATGCATTTTGCGAATGGTATGTATCATTGTCTTTATACAGTACCCTACCGCTTAAAATTTTATGTAGATGTTATGCTAAAGGTTGTTTATAAACTGTAAAGGACCACCATTGCATTTGGATAAATAACTGCGTCGGCCATGAAAACTATAAGGTGTTCTTCATGTTTGTCGTGTATGCTGTAGTCGCATGTATCTACTCCCTGGTAAGTCATTTGATGCAATGTGATTTAGACGACTTGTCATTCTTCCTTCGTTTCTTTTCTGGCCAGTTTCTTTCCTTGTGTTTTACTTATTGAAGTAGTTGCATGCAGGCATCCTCCTTGCATTTAAAATTTGTTTCATTGTTTGCTGAATCTTCAGGTATTACTCATTGGCAGTCTTACAATTGATCCTCCTTCGGATGAGCAGGAAGTTGGAGGCCCTTTTAGGACTATATATGTAAATACATAGTGCATCCTTGTTTTTTCTTTTTTCCTTTCCTTTTTGAAATTCTTCATGCTTGTTGTTCAAATTAGTTGTTATGCTCATTGTCACGTATACAGATTGTTGCTGGGCTGTTGCTATTGCCTTTAAGTATGGCATTAAATGTTCTATTGGGTTGGCACATTTACTTAATTTTGCACAATAAGACTACAATTGAGGTTAGTTTCTACCGGTTCTGTTTCTTGTCTGTTTGTTTGCCGGTGAATTGCTAATTCAGACAGATTTACCAGGCATTTGTTTGCTTTTTAGTATCATGAAGGAGTGAGAGCTATGTGGCTTGCGGAGAAAGGTGGGAATGTGTATTCACATCCGTATGATCTTGGTGCCTTTGAGAATCTTACCACGGTACTTACTATATGTTATTTCTCTTCCTCTATTTTGCCTGATCTGTAGGTGATAGAAACCATTGATGTATAGAATGACATAGGGTCATTTATGTACATATTAAATGTATGTTTTGACAATTCAAAATGGGAAATGCTCGAGGCTTATTCATGTCTATGGTTGATCAGTGTGAAAAATGTAGTGTTATAGCTACATGAAGTATTTACTTAGGCCCCGTTTAATAAAGATTTCGCTTTTAGTCATCTGTTTTTAAAATTTATGCTTGTTCATCCCATTTTTTCGATCACTTCAATTCCTAGTCAAATTCTAAAAACAAAAACAAGTTTTTGAAGAATATTTCTTAGTTTTCAAAACTTAACTTAGTTTTTGAAAACATCAGTAGAAAGTGAAGACTAAACCTAGAAACTTATGGATGGAAGTAGTGTTTAAAAACTTAATTTTGAAAAACTAAATGGTTATCAAATGGGGCCGTAATTGTTAGTTTTTGTTTTGTTGCGTTCAAACATGACATGTATTAGACTGTACAACCTAGAATGCATTCATCCATTGTCAGGTAGCTTTCATAGATGCATCAAATTCTAATAGGCATGGCTGCTTAAATGTGGTGCTAGCTGATCACATCCTTACGTTTGTACAAATATAGCTGGGTGTTGGACTGCCCAGAGTCTTATCTGTATGCTATCTGAGCTGTTCTATCTCATTACAACAGATTCTTGGCCCAAATATATTAAGTTGGATATGCCCCATGTCGAGACATAATGGCTCTGGTCTTCGCTTCCGAGCGGCCTATGACAAATCTATTAGTGCATCAATGTTAAAGGAAAGTTCATCTCTGCCCATGACATTTGTTTAAGAACAACAAGCTATGCACCTCTCAATGGCCATGAAGGATTCATGTTTACTGAGCTCTTCAGCAGAGTGGTGCTTCTTTGAAGAACCCAAATTTCAAACAGCATTCTAAATGTTGAATAGATATGATAGCGTGACAGCCGTGGCTTGTTGGAGAGTTACTGATATTGTCTATCACGAACTGTTTCTTGTTGACATCAAGAACTCAGCAAATCTGTTTCAGGTATGATTTATCCTTTCCTGTTTGTTTTAGAAAATCCGTTCGAAGTTAGGGTCTGGAAAACGATGCAGGTTATAGGTTAATGTAGAAAAAGAGAGATCTCAGATGTAGTCGGGTGTTTATGTACATGAGTTCACTGGACATGCTAACAAATTGTTTTGTGTAGTCGTAGCTCTGTAACTTGTAACAAAAAAAAGGAGGTAAATTGCAATTAAGATATAATGCAATCTTTAACACTGCATGGTGTTTTTACTTGTTTCTCCATCTATGCTTCTTTGTGATTGAATCTTTCAAGTATATTCTTCAAATTGCTTTTTCCTTCCTTCATCATTCATAAGGCGAGAATTTATTTGTTATTTTCTTCTTTTGAAGAGGCATTTTCTTTTATATCTTCCCATTTTCATCCTTCCATTGCTTTGGTTGGCTGAATATGTTACGAAAAGTTCACTCCTTTCTTATGTACAAAAGATAATCTTGTTGTCGTATGCTATAAAGTTTCCTAAATTTCAATACTTTTGAACATAAGGCTGCAACTTTTTCCCTTTTTTCTGACATTAAAGAATGAGATGGACTTATTATATGACGTTGATTTTTCAGTACCATCATTTAAATTTATATGGAAAAGTAAATATAAGTTTAGAACAAGCTCATTGCTAATGTACTAATGTGGATGGTTCTATCTTTTGCCCAGAACGGTTGAATTCATTAAGAAATTATAATCTGTTCTTAGAGATAGAAAAATCTTATTAATTTGCATAGAATGGATTGATTGGTCGGTGAATTCAAATCAATAATTTCATTGAAGAGAAATTGTTCAAAATCAAGCAACAGTGCTTCCAGCTAAAAGAACTTGATAGTTGACTCTATCATTATTGCATCAATTATTAATGGACTTGGTAATGTCAATCCATTCTTGGATCCAAGACTCATGATGCATTTTCTTTTGGTAATATATAACAATGCAAAAAGTGGAATTCAAGATATCAATCCAATCGAGCTACTGTTCATACAACCTTATATAAATATATTTTGCTTTAGATTTCTCACATTTTAGTCGAGATTATATCCAATAGTATTTTAGCTATTTTAGAAAAAGGATATTTTAAAAAGTCGAATTAGATTATAAATATGAATATCCTTACGTTATCCACAATCTTAGATTCTAGAAAAGGCAGGAAGAAATAAAATATGGTTTCTCACAGTAGTTATCCTTTTAAAATACTTGGAATAAAGAGAAAGAAACAGTACAAGGCGCAGTGATGAGAGTGATGGGATTGGGGGGAACGAACGAAGCAACTTTCTCGTGCCACCCACGTGAACTCCAAATGGACGTGTCTAATTCTGACTCGATGGCGCGCACCAGTAAGACCCAATTCCCCCAATTCTCTTGCCCATTTTTTTTCCCTTTTTCTGGGAATCGTTTGATGAAAAGATGGCAACAATAGGGACTATCCTGCGCGAGCTGCTCAGGCTTCTGTGACTCCAATTTCTCAGCGCTTTTTTCCTCCTCTCTTTCCAGTGTTGTTGGATTTCATTTCTGGGTTTGTGGGTTTGGATTTGTCTCTGCATCTGATCGATTTTATCGTCTTCGGGATTGAGATGGAGGAGAAGAAACAGAACCCAGCTGAGATCAACAGGTTTATCATCTGGGTTTTTAAGATTCTTGCTTCTAAACCACTTTTATCAGTTTTGGATTATGTTCCTTATACTGTTCATCGAGTGTTTACTTTCACTTTCCTCTCTTCTGTTTTCCCTTTTCGTTTGATTTAGTGAAGATTTCAAGTAGGTCTGTTCTTTTGTTCGTCTAATTACTGAAATGGTGGATGGGGATCAAGATGGGGTTTAGGTTCTTTTCCATTTCTTAGTGTTTCCAGTATCGTTATTGTTGCTATTATTTACTCGGGAGATGAAGAACAATCTTGATCCGCGCTATACTAATTTAGGGAAGTCTGATTTCTTTTCCTTTTTTGAAGTTTCAATCGATTGATGGGGTCTGCGATTTTGCCTTACTGGTACAGATCAACTTATTACCGATTTTAATTACCTAGAATACACATTGAGAAATTAGACGACTGAAAACGAAATCCTACCAATTCTATGCGTTACCAGCTCCTTTTGGAAACAAATTCATGCTTATAATGTTCCAAGACATTGTTTTCATGTTTTGGTTGCTGGAACTCTTCTGTTAATCCAACTCTGTTGGTATATTTTCACTGAGAGTTTGAAGCATTATCTCTTGTAAAGTTCCTGTCTTGCATCCAAATTAATGGAGGATTGCAGCCTTTTCCCTGTCTCTTATCTGAAGAATTATGTCGTTTTCTAATGTTTTTTTTGCAGCTTCTATGTAATTTCTAAGCTCCAGACCAACCCTTTTGACTTGAACAAGAAAAGAAAGCTACCGGCTGAGCATTTGGGCTTGCCTTCACCAAAACATAAACACTGCAATGAAGGCTTCCCTTCCAAGCTTGCCTTTCTGTATGATGGCTTTCCCGAAACCGAGCACATGAATGTACAATTCATAAAGGGGAGCGCGAATGTACTGCGTTTCGACGACGGGTCGAGTCCCGAATCGGCAAAAGATAGCAATAGCTTCTGCGAAGAGTCTGATTCTGCAACATCTGTATTTCATGGAGCCAAATTTGAACTGAACCAAGCTTGCACATATGACAGTTCTTCCACACAATGTATGAGTTTTGGTGGCGCAAGTTCTGAAAGCACCCATTTCTCAGTTGAAAGCTCCACAGCCATGGAATCGAGCTCGACCGAGCAGGAAGTAGCGTTTGCAAGCGGCGAAAATAGAATCGAAACAGTTCACAAAGTTCAGGAACATCTACTAGAACTGGATAGCCGTGAAGATTATGATTTTGCTGAATATGGACATGATGAAACTGAGCAATGCACAGACCAGGAACTTGAGGATCTTTTCTACTCAAACGGATTGGACCCAAATGCCTATATTCTTTCCTCCGGACGATGGACAGTAAACCACGGTAGTAAACGCATCTTCCATAAGAATCTTTATCAATTGAAGTTCATTGTTTGCCATTTACTAAATCACATTCATTCTCTTAATGCAGAGGCTCAATCAAGTGCTAGAGCCCCAACGATTGATCAAGAATTTGAGCAGTACTTTTCCATGCTGATGCTGTAACTCCGATTGCTCGTCCCGAGTACGAGCGCGACCGACATGTAATGTACTAACGCCATCTAAAGTATCGAGTTCTTATGAATAATGTGGATATCAGTTTCATCCTAACGAATTGTACCGAATGAACATTCCAAAAATCGTATCGATAGCAATGGCGTGTTTAACTCTGTAGCAAGTTTCATTCTTTACACTAAACAAATTGTTGCAGTGGCTGAATCAAACTTTACAGAGACAGGAAAATGAAGAATTCAAAGAGATTATTGAACTTTACAGAAACAGATTCACGTAGAAGCAGAATTTGGGCAAAACACGCGAGAAGGGAAAGAAAAGAAGCTGGAAATTATTAATTTATAAAGACCAAAACTTTTGGTAAACGGAATGTCTCAACACTTGGGGAGGTCGGCTGGCGGCGGCGGCAGTTTCTGGTTGGGTTTTGGGCCGTCGAGGACAATCCAGGCCATTCTCAGCCCCCAACTTGTATGCACGTCCAAATGGCAATGCATGAACCACACTCCTGTTTCACCGCCCAAAATGTCTAAATTTTAGCTTAAAACTAGAATTTCAAATTTTTTTAGTATAATAAATATGAAAGCATGGAGATTTATATTTCACCTGGGTTGTCGGCGAAGAAACGGAAGGCGACCCAGCCGCCGGCGGGAACGCCGGCGGTGTTCCTCTCAACGGGGTCAACCAGGTTGAAATTTGCTGGATCTTTATTTGGGTCGAAGTTTCCAAAACCTTCCCCAACTATGTAGAAATTAAATCCATGAAGATGAAGAGGGTGACTCTCCGCCCCCAGAATACTTGTCCCCTGCAAAACCACCTCCACACTCGCATTGAACGGCAACACCACCAAACTCGTACTATTACTCACAAACGTATTATTCGGCGGCGTTCCGGTGTAGTTGAACGGGAAAATCGGCCTCGCCGGGAAATCAGTCCGGTAAACCCCATTAGCCCGGCGGGAGAAGTAAGCCTGCAAAAGCGCCGTCGACGGAAGTGCAAAAGAGACATTGTTAATAGAGGCAGCAAATTTCGTACCATTGGAACCTTGACACGTGGCGTTATTCGGGCAAGGGGCAGTTCCAAGCCCGACGGTGAGGAAAAACTTCTTGTCCACCGTTTGGGGAACTTTAGCAGGGAATTTGGCGTTGGCAAGAGACCGTAATTTTCTAGAGAAATTGAAAACGAAATTGGTGTCGTTAATAGCGGGAAGATTGGGAAGTAGACTCGGAATTCCAGTGGCCGGAATTGGTGTGGATGAGTGGCCGTAATGGAGGATTCCGACAGTGGTGGAATTGTCGAAAGTGCCCTGACCGGTGGCGTAAGGGCGAGCGGCCATGAAAAAAGTAGCATTAGTGAAATTGGGATTGGTTTTGAGAAGAACGTTGGAGGTTTGGCCGGGGCTGAGCAGTACGACGTCGGTTTGGAAAGGCTTGACGTAGGAAGCATCGGCGTCGACGACGGTGAGGGAGTGGTTGGCGATGCTGAAGAAGAGCTCATCGTTGAGCGCAGCGTTGATCAATCGGAGCAAGTAAGTCTTCCCTGGCTTCACCTTTAGCTTAAAAGTATCTGAAAATAGCACAAATTTAGTACAATTTTGGTCAAATTATACACAACCTTGGAGTATACCATACCATTAGAAGAGCAATTATAGAGAAGGCCAGGAAGTCCATTAATGGTGTAAGCATCAGAAACATTAGGCCCTCCGCCCGTCTGCAGAGCCTGCTGAATCACACTCTCCGGATCCACATTAAACCACTCCCCTGCACCCACCACATAAACAAAAAACAACCCATTTTGCTTAGATTCATATCCCGTCCCAACCCACCGCCGCCATTAATGAACAAACCTCTCCTCACCGAAAACAATGGGGACTTCCCTGTGGGGCTTCTCGAACGGGTAGGATTCGTTCCGGCGGGGGAGGATGATAATGGGGCCGTGAATCGTCGCCCTCAGCCACGAGATATGGGCATGCCAAAGCAGAGTCCCCATCTGTCCTTTGAGTGTAAAATTGTAAGTGTACGCCTGACCCGTCTGGATTGGGCATTGGGTCACGTAAGCCGGTCCGTCGGCCCAACCGGTTCGGAGCTGGCGGACACCGTGCCAA